CTGGAGCAGAGAATCCGGCTGAACCCAGGAAGTGGGAGTTTACGGAGCTGAGATCGTGCCATTTGCACTCCAGGCTGGGCAACGAAAGAGTGAGACTCCAGCGCTCTCAAAAAACAAAAAAATAAATTTAAAAATAAAGTTTAAAACCCATTGATGGACCATGCAGGTAGTGTCTTCTTGCCGTAATCCTTAGGGACCTGTTGGGAGGCTGAGGCTCAGAGGATGCCTCGGAGGCCAGGGAGCTTTGGATACACGGGCTTGAGACATTAAGCGTTAACGGATGTTTTTTGATAGCCTCTCCGTCCTTTTTTTTTTTTTGTCGAGACCCAGTCTCTACAAAAAATGTAAAATTAGCCAGGTGTCGTGTGTGGGCATATGTAATCCTAGCTAAGTGTGAGTGCGAGGCAGGAAGATCCTACTGACCCCAGGAGTGACGGTTGCAGTGAGCTGGCCACCACTGTATCAGCCGTTGGCAATATTGGGTTGTACCCGTGCATAAAAAAAATAAAGAAAATTAAATAAGAAAAGATTGTTTTGATGGCACAGATGTTAGAAAGAATATGGTAAATAAAAAATTTGGCACTTTTAAAATAGGTCAGCTTGTCCCAAAGAGGTAGCTGTTCCCCCCAGTACCGCACGACCGCTCAGCGCAGGCGGTGTGCCGCACAGAACTCACGGGCTCATGGATCCTTTTTGATGAACCGGGAGCTGCATTGCCTCACTCAGTGATATGACAAAGACCAAAGACATGCAAGTCATGCTTCACTGTCACCATTGATAAAGGAAGAGGAGATGTGAGGCGGTAGTGTCCTGGCTCTTAAGGAAACTGGAATGTGTGTGTGTGTTGTGGGCGGGGAATCTCGGCCACTGACAAGCCTCCACACTCCTGAAGGGTTCAGCGACTCTGATGCGCCTGCAGAAGGCCGTCCGCTGCTGTGTGTGCGTTGTGGGAGCCTTGTAGCGTTCAACGCGCATGACCAGCCAATGACACCCAAGTTTATATTATGTTTGTGTAGCTATTGTTTAGTCACTTTTGTAAGAACGGAGTTTGTCCACTCTTGCCATGTCGTGGCCTGATTGAAGAAGAAGCGTGAGGGTCTGATGGCTGCCCAGGCTCGAGTGATCCACCCGTCTCAGAGCCTCCAAACTGCGGATTACAGATGTGCAGTCACCGGCGGCCACCCACAGTTTCTTATCAGAAGCAGCAGCGGTCTAAAGTGAAGTCGTCGTAATATTGTGCACTACTCCAAGGCTCGCAACCAGGGAGTCCCTTTCTGCAGCCCTTCCCGCTCAGCAAATTCGCAGTTTCCTTAAGATGCGCAGATGTCATCGTACTTAACCCAGGAGTTCTATATGTGCGGCGCTCTTCCTCGCTTCATCAGGAGAGTAGGCGTGGATAGAACAGCGCAGTGACAGACTGACACTGTGCGCCATCATGTCTTTGCAGTGGTTGTGGTCATGGTCTCAGTCAGCCTGAGCAGACCAGCCATGGTGGCACGGCAAGAAAGTCAGATTGGCGAAACTTCCGTTGGTCTAGTGGATTACATCAAAAACCTATGTGAATCCAATGAAACCTGTGTAAAGTGTCGTGCGGCAGGTACGCGGCTGCCGGTGAGGGGACTGTGTGAAATCCAAGGGGTCACTGGTAGGATACAAGTGAGCTTTTGGCGATGCGCAGGAGCTCGGAAACAATGAGTGTATTTTCAGAGACAGTGTGCCAATGTTTTTATTTATCTGAGAATACTTTATAGCTGAAACATTTGCATAAAAGGCTCTTTTTTTATTAGGTGTTGCTTGTGTCACTGTTATTGTTCTATGTTGTGAAACTAGGCCGAGATTGCGCAGCTGGGGATCCTCTCACCATAGCTGTTGCCTGCAGAGCTGGACGACCAGAGCGTCCAGATCTCACAAGATAGAGATGAACAATATTAGAACTCAACATAGACCTACAAAATGTCAATGGGCACATACAAGATAGGGATCTGCCAAGAGTCACATAACTACAGTGAGCTCATTCCTGTTCATTGAATCTCAAGAGGACCATTACGAAAACGACCGCCGCTCATGAGATCAATCATGTTGAGCTTTTATGTGTTATCTACCACGGCATATGCCACCACACGCTGGTAATTTTACATTTTATTACGCGTAAGGACTTGTTTGTGTAGAGACCCTCGCAAAAAAAAAAAAAAAAAGGACGAAGGTATAAAAAAGCATCCTTAACGCTTTAAGTCTCAAGCTGATATCCAACTGCCGTGGCCTCAGGCAATCCTCCTGCCTCACGTCTCTACGCAGAAGGTCATAGAGGATTTACACTGGCTACGAGGAACTCCTATTGCCTTCTGGGTCCTTAATATCTGAAGATGGAATTACTTAAAAATCTCTACTATTGGATATTAATTACTTTGATATTTTTTTTGGAAATTTCAGAGTTTCCGTGTGTCCGTCAAGCTCTTCGCATTAGCCTTCGCCTCTGCGAGTGAATGGGGGCATAGTGATGCTCAGCGTCCACGGTTTAACCATCCACTTCCTGGTTCCGCGCATGTTCGCATGCTCTCAGGAGGTTAGCTTGAGCTGTATTATTTACCCTAAGTAGCTGGGATTTTACAGGCATGCGCTATTCCACAACGCAGCCTAACTTCTGCATTTTTTAGTAGAGATGGTTCTCTCCATGTTGGTCAGGTCTGGTCTCAAAACTCACTGACCTCAGAGCGATCGCCAGCGTGTGTTTACGCCATTTCGTCTCTTGTTGCTGTTTTGAAACACAATCCAGTGTGCTAGAGAACCGACTTACAGCGATGAGACCATGCCAGCCCATCCAATTGAATTTTTTTTCTGTTTTTTTTTTTTTGAGACGGAGTCTCGCTCTGTCGCCCAGGTGGAGGTGCAGTGGAAAATTCACAGAAGATGTACGAGCGCGCATGCTGAAGCTCCGCCTCGCCCGGGTTGAGCCACTTTTCCGTGCCTCGAGCCTCGCGAGGTAGCTGGGACTACAGGCGGCCCACCACTCGCCGCCGGCTACTTTTTTTGTATTTTTAGTAGAGACGGGGTGTTGTTCACCGGGTTAGCCAGGATGGTCTCGATCTCCTGACCTCATGATCCGCCTGTCTCGGCCTCCCAAAGTGCTGGGATTACAGGCTTGAGCCACCATGCCCGGCAATTAATTTTTTTTTAAGAGACAGGGTCTTACTGTCACCCAGGCTGGAGTGCAGTGGCACAATCATAACTGAAGGTAACCTCAAACTCCTGGGCTAAAGTGATCCTCCCACCTCAGTCTCCTGAGTAGCTAGAACTATAGGTGAACACCATCACACCTAGCCAATTTACTTTCTATTTTTTGTAGAGATAGGGTCTCGCCATGCTGCCCAGGCTGGTCTCAAACTCCTGGCCTCAAGTGATCCTCCCACTTCTGCCTCCCAAAGTGCTGGGATTACAGGCATGAGCCACCATGCCCAGCTTGGAACATAGTTTTTAATTAGCCTAATTCACTGTTTTTAATTGTTCAAAAAAACCATATGTAAAATAACAGATGACATCTCTCCATAAAAAGAGGAAAATTTGAAGGAAAATAATGTGAGTAAAAACCATACAATTTCTAACCTTACTCATGAGGCAACTGTAGAAAACAGAAAACACATAACAGGTGTTACAATTACATAGCGTCTGTTTATACACAAAAATGGCACCCGATTAATAAAGAATGCATCCATGTACATGCTTGAGGGGACGAATACCCCATTTTCCATGATGTGATTACACACTGCATACCCGTATCAAAATATCTCATGTACCCCATAAATATGTGCATCTATGCACCCCCCAAATTGTTTTTAACTTTTAAAAAATAAAAATAAAGTATAAGAATATATCCATAAAGAAAAAAGAAAAATAAATAAAAGCAAGAAAAAGACAAAAAAAAGAAATAAAAAGAATACATCCATAAAGAGCAGTTTCTCGTGCACTATAATCTTATTTCAAAACATGAGCTAAATCTAGAGCTATATTAAGCAGTCTCTCTTTCAATGGTTAATTACCTTCTTAGGAGGCTCTTGTTTCTGAGTATATATGTTCGTCTTCCCAAAGCCCTGGCCAAACTTGACTACCGCTCCATCCACAATGAAGGTAACGGGAGCATTCTTCGGCTGGGATTGGTAGAAGAGCGGCAGTCCACACCTGCAATGGCACAGTGAATTTCTGCGAAGTCTCATAATCCAAATTCCCAAAACAGCAATTTGCAAAGTGTGCTTAGACTCTGGGAATATTTCTGTTGGTGGCATAAACTAATGATTGACTCTTCTCAATGTTTCCTAAAACTACCTCTACCTGATAAGAATCACTTAGGCCAGGCATGTTGGCTCACGCCTGTAATCTCAGCACTTTGGGAGGCTGAGGCGGGTGGATCACCTGAGATCAGGAGTTCGAGACCAGCCTGGCCAACATGGCAAAACCCCGTCTCTACTCAAAATACAAAAATTAGGCCGGGCGCGGTGGCTCAAGCCTGTAATCCCAGCACTTTGGGAGGCCGAGACGGGCGGATCACGAGGTCAGGAGATCGAGACCATCCTGGCTAACACAGTGAAACCCCGTCTCTACTAAAAAATACAAAAAACTAGCCAGGCGCGGTGGCGGGCACCTGTAGTCCCAACTACTCGGGAGGCTGAGGCAGGAGAATGGCGTGAACCCGGGAGGCGGAGCTTGCAGTGAGCTGAGATCCGGCCACTGCACTCCAGCCTGGGCAACAAGAGCAAGACTCTGTCTCAAAAAAAAAAAAAAAAAAAAAAAAAATTCCTTTTTCTGGTCATCTGGTCAAAGATATAACTTTGACTAGCCTCTTTGGGGAACATATTGGTATTTGTGCTTAGTTGAAGTCTGAAGGCAGTTGAGATTATAAGGATAAAGACACAATGGGGGCCGGGCGAGGTGGCTCAGGCCTGTTATCCCAGCAGTTTCGGAGGCCGAGGTGGGCGGATCAACTGAGGTCAGGAGTTCGAGACCAGCCTGACCAACATGTCAAAACCCTGTCTCTACTAAAAATATAAAAATTAGCCGGGCATGGTGGCACGTGACTGTAATCCCAGCTACTAGAGAGGCTGAGGCAGGATAATCACTTAAACACAGGAGGCAGAGGTTGCGGTGACCCGAGATCGCACCACTGCACTCCAGCCTGGGCGACAGAGCAAGACTCCATCTCAAAAAAAAAAAAAAGACATAATGGAGAGTTGTATCCAAATAATTATTTTCCTAACACATTATGCCTCTACTTGCCTATGCTTGGAGAAACCCACATTGTTAATACTTACTTTGCACATTTCTTCCTGTACTGTCGTTCAATGCCTTCAGGTCTGCACAGAAAATGGAAGTTAAAAAATAAAAAGATATGAACAAATCTCATAATGTATCAACTTTACTACCCCATTTCTTCAAACGCTAAGAGGGCCTTTAAAAGGTTTTCATTTTATAGGTCAACTCATTGTTTCAACATTCCTCCCTTCCTGTAACATTTATGGAAGCCCCTGAAATGGGTCAGGTATCTCCCTGACAAAGGAAGAGGAAGAGGAGGAGCAGCATAGTCATAATCACAGGTAGCAATAGTAGTTGCAGTAATAACAACAACAATAATAGCAGCAACCATTTATAAACCCTTTACTGTGCCAAGAGCTATTCTAAAGCATACATGTATTAACTCGACTGGGCACGGTGGCTCACGCCTGCAATCCTAGCACTTTGGGAGGCCCAGGTAGGTGGATCACTTGAGTTTGAGACCAGCCTGGCCAACATGGGGAAACCCCGTCTCTCCTAAAAATATAAAAATTAGCCGGGCATGGTGGTGGGTGCCTGTAATCCCAGCTACTCAGGAGGCTGAGGCAGGAGAATCACCTGAACCTGGAAGGCAGAGGTTGCAGTGAGCCGAGTTCACGCCACTGCACTCCAGCCTGGGTGACAGAACAAGGTTCCATCTCAAAAAAAAAAAAAAAGTATACATGTATTAACTCATTTAATCCTTACAACAACTCTGTGAGGTAGGTCATATTATTATTCCCACTTTACAAATGAGGAACCTAGGCCCACAGAGCATTACATGGCTTGCCCAAAGTTGTGGAGCTAGGAAGCAGAGGTTGAATTTAAGCCCAGGCAGTCAAGCTCAAGAGCCCACACAATACCACCTTAGACACCAAGTCATATACACAAGGACTCAATTCCACCCACACGGCTGCTTAACAGAAACCTGGGACTCATCTTTGATTCTTCTCTTCCCCTCATCTCCCACACCTACTTCATCAGCAAATCCTACGGATTTTATCTCCAAGAAAAGACCTTGAATCTGTCTGCTTGTCTCCACATTCCTGCCACTATCTTAGCCTACACCACCATTATCAACTCCCTGGACGACTGTAACAGCTCGTCCTGACTGGTCTCCTCACTTCCCCTCCCCTTGTTTCAACTTTGTAATAGGCAATATATGCATACGGTATACATAAGAGTATAAAACAAAAAATATCTTCCCCGCTCATCCTCCACCCACCCAGTTCCCTTCCCCAGAGGCAAATACTGTTTCTGGTTTCTTCTGCTCATCCTAGAGATAGCTGATGCATATATAAGCAAAGAACTCTGAATGGTACATAAAGAAAATATTTTTTTTTCCTTTTTTAAACAAATATACAGTGTTCTCTACTTTCGTTCACTTAAAAATATAACTTGGTTAAAATATATATATATATATGTATATATATATATTCCTATCAATAGATAAAGAGCTACTTCATTCTTTACAAGGACCACATTGTATTCCTTTGTATAGATGAACCAAAATGTTTTTTACGTGTTGGATGAATTCCTAGAAGTGTGTACATTTTAAATTCTGGTAGATGCTGCCAAATTTCTCTCTATAGAAGTTGAACCAATTTAGACTCACACTACCAATATACTGAGAGTTCCTGTTTCCTTACAGTCTCACCAACACTGTATGCCATTAAATTGCATCACTGCCATTCTCACATGTGAAAAATGGAATCTTTTAATTTGTATTTCTTTTTTTAGGAGTAAAGTTACACATCTTTTCATATATTTAATAGTCATTTGCATTTTCTTTGTTTCGAACTGTTAGTTCATGTCCTTTGTTTATTCAGTTACCTTTTAATTTTACATTAAGGAAACTTGTAAATAATGAAGGGGCCTTGGTTATTCTCTAGTTTGTCATTTGTCTTTGACTTTTTTCACCATGTGGAAATTTTAGGTTTTTCTGTGGTCAAACCAATCTTCTTTTCTCACATAATAATTCATACAACTCAATAGCAAATAAATAATTAACCTGATTTTTTAAATGGGCAATGACCTGAATAGACATTTCTCCAAGACATATAAATGGCCAACAGGTATATGAAAAGACTAATCATCAGGGAAATGCAAATCAAAACCATAATGAGGGCTGGACGTGGTGGCTCACGCCTGGAATGCCAGCACTTTCAGAGGCCAAGATGGGCAGATCACTTGAGGCCAGGAGTTCGAGAGCAGCCTGGTCAACATGGTGAAACCCTGTCTCTACTCAAAATACAAAAATTAGCCGGGTGTTGTGGCACACGCCTGTAATCCCAGCTACTTGGGAGGCTGAGGCAGGAGAATCACTTGAACCTGGAAAGCAGAGGTTGCAGTGAGCCAAGCTTGCACCACTGCACTTCAGCCTGGGCAACAGAGTGAGACCCTGTCTCAAAAAAAAAAAAAAAAACAACATAATGAGATATCCCTTCACTCCAGTAGTTAGAATGGCTATTATCAAAAAGACAAGGCTGGGTGCAGTGGCTCATGCCTGTAATCCCAGCACTGTGGGAGGCCAAAGCAGGCGGATCACAAGGTCAGGAGATCGAGACCATCCTGGCCAACATGGTGAAACTCCGTCTCTACTAAAATACAAAAAATTAGCCAGGCATGTTGGCATGTGCCTGTAGTCCCAGCTACTAGGGAGGATGAGGCAGGGGAATCACGTGAACTCGGGAGGTGGAGGTTGCAGTGAGCCGAGATTGCACCACTGCACTCCAGCCTGGTGACAGAGTAAGACTCCGTCTCAGAAAAAAAAAAAGACAAAAGTTAAGTGTTAGGGAGGATGTGGAGAAAAGGGAACCCTTACACACTGCTGGTGTGCTGGTGAAAACGTAAATTAGTACAGCCATTATAGAACACAGTATGGGAGATTCCTCAGAAAATTATAGAACTACCCTATGATCCAGCAATCCCACTTCTTGGTATACATCCAAAGGAAATGAGTTCAGTATCTCAAAGAGATATGTGCATTCCCATGCTCATTGCAGCATTATTCACAATAGCCAAGATATGGAAGCAACCTAAATGTCTATCAATGGCTAAGTGGATAAAGAAAAGGTGGCACGCACGCACACATGCACACACAACAGAACATTATTCAGCCTTACGAAAAGAAGGAAATCCTGCCATTTGTGATAATATGGATGGACTTGGAGGACATTATGCTAAGTGAAATAAGCAAAACACAGAACGACAAATACTGCATGACCTCACTTGTTTGTGGAATCTAAAATAGTCAAACTCAATAGAAGCAGAGAGTAGAATGGTGATTGCCAGGGGCTGAAGGTGGAGGAAATGGGAGGTTGTTGTTCAACAGGTATAAAGTTTCTGTTATGCAAGATAAGTAAGTTTTGGAGATCTAATGTACAGCATCATAACTATAGTTAACAATACTGTATTGTACATTCTAAATTTTTAAAGTATTCTCACTACCTACACACACAAAGAAAATGGTAACTGTGAGGTGACAGATACATGAATTAGCTTAATTGTGGTGATATTTCACAATGTACATGTATATCAAAATATCAAGCTGTATCCCTTAAACACATACAATTTTTGTTAATTATACCTCAATAAAGCTAAAAAGAATTTAACACATCATCTTGATAGAACGAAAGAGAAAAACATAATCATTTCAACAGACACATAGAAAAAGTGCTTGACAAAATTCAAAATCCCTTCAATATACTAAGAATAGAAGGGAACTTCCTCTACCTAATAAAGGACATCTCTGAAAAACCCACATCTGTTTACCCACGTCTTAGTGCATTTTCTGTTGCTGTAAGATAATACCACAGACTGGATAATTTATAAATGAAAGAAATTGATTTCTCACAGTTCTGAAAGCTGGGAAGCATAAGAGCATGGCTCCAGCATTGGGCAAGGGCCTTCATGCTGCATCATAACATGGCGGAAGGGCAAGTGAGTGTGAGAAAGCTTGGTTTTAAAACAAAGCCACTCCTGCAATAACAGACCTACTCACATGCCAGCAACATTAATCCATGCATAAGAGCAGAGCCTCATTAATTCATTCATAGGGCAGACAGATTAAGCTTCCAACACATGAACTTTTGGGGAACACATTCAAATCATAACACCACATAAACTAACATCATACTTTATGGTGAAAGACTGAAAGTTTCCTAAAATCAGGAACAAGATAAATATGCCACTCTCACTACTTCTATTCAATACTTAGAATAAATTTAACAAAAGAAGTGCAAGAAATGTACACTGAAAACTAAAAAGTATTACCAAAAGAAATTAAAGAAGACCTAAATAAATGTAAACACATTTTGATGTTCATGGATTGGAAGACTTAATATTGTTAAGGTGGCAATATTCCTCGAAAGAATTTCCAGATTCAACACAGTCCCTTTCAAAATCCCAGCTGGCTTTTTCACAGAAATTTAAGCTGATCCTAAAATTAATATGGAATTGGAAGAAATCCAGTACAGCCAAAGCAATCTTGAAAAACAAAAACAAAGTTGGAGAACTCACACTTCCCAATTTCAAAACTGACTAAAAAGCTACAGTAATAAAGACAGGGTGGTACTGGCATAAGGACAGACATACAGGTCAATGGAATAGAACTGAGAGTCTAAAATAAACCCATACATATATGGTTAACTGATTTTCAACAAGGGTGCCAAGACCATTATGGGAGAAAAACCCAGTCTTTTTAACAAAAGGTCCTGGGACAACTAGATAGCCACATGCAAAAGGATGAATTCAGCCCCCTACTATACACAAAAATTAACTCAAAAAGAATGAAAGACCTACATGTAAGTAGTAAAATTATAAAACTCTTAGAAGAAAACACAGCTGCAAATCTTCATATGCTTGGATTAGGCAAACATTTCTTCATTTTTGAAACAGATTCAGGCTGTGTCACCCAGTCTGGAGTACAGTGGTACGATCTCGGCTGGCTCACTACAACCTCCACCTACCTACCGGGTTCAAGCGATTCTCTTCTACCTCAGCCCCAAGTAGCTGAGACTACAGGTGTACACCACCACGCCTA